AACTGCAAGCTAGCTGCAGCCACTTCAGTGTGAGTTCGATCCCTGGCCCCAGAGGTGACCCACATGGCACAGCAGACCTCTCTTACCTCGCCTGCCGCTCCCCTCATCAGTGTAATTCATCGATCTGTCTGTTCTGCTCCCCACTGTCTCTGTGAATATTCTCACCACTCCAGCACCTCTGGCTTGTACCCTAGTTCTCTATGTATAAATAAATAAATCTTCAAAAACAAAAGAAAATACCATATAACTCTTCTTTGGCTATAGCCAGTACCCATTCTTAATATAAAATAATCTAAGGATATATTAAAAAATGTAATTAAATGTTCTCGCATCTAGTTTGCCCATCAGTCATAAACAAATATGGTTAAGTTGATTTTTTAAAATTATTGAGGTGAAATTACAAGCACCTTGAGAGAAACCAGGCTCTTTTAGGGCTGCAGCACAGTCAGCTGCTGCATGATTGTCTTCTGGTCCATGCAGGCTACATACGGGAAGCTGATCCCAAGAGGCTATGCTGTCAAGCCAGGGTTTCTGTTAAGCTGTATAACTAGGCTGAGTAAATCTATTCTATGATTTTCAAACACTGACATAGTTTCCTCAGTCCTTTCACAGAATGTATCCCCTTTATTTAACAACGTATGACTCTCTTTGCAACATCATACAGTGTGCAACTCATACCCAGCACTCTGTACTTAACTATGGAATGAGTAGAATGATATCTATGTAATAAAAATAAAATTCAATATAATACAGTAAAAATTTTTCAGTTGAATTCCCAATATTTCAGTAAGTTGATAAAAAATAAGAAATTATCACCATTGGAGAAAGTAGAATTATAAAGTGTCTAAAGCATAGGGAAATGATTTCAGAGGTTCCCCTAAGTCAGAGAATGTTCAAATTGGTTGTCTGGTAGGAAAAAAATTGATTGATTTCATTTGTCTGCCTTTTGTGACAACAAATGTCTCTAAGATCTCAGGGCTTAAAAACGAATGTGATTTAGTTCTTATTTATGTTATATATCTGCACCTGCTCCACATATCTTCACCACGATATCCAAGGTAAAAGATAAGTCTCTGTTACAGTCATGCTATTTATAGCAGAAGGAAAGAGCCAGAAGCTTGAAGCCTGGTTTCAACCAAAGTGTATATTATGTTAGCTGACACGTCATTGATCAGAGCAAGTCACGTCTTCAATGAGATGGGGACCCATGTCCTTCCTGCAGGTATACCACACTTCACATGATGATGGTAAGAAGTGACACAAAACCTCTTAAAGGAAGAAAGATAAATCTTTATGAAACTTACACACAATTATTTAAAAAATGCAACAAGAAAGTCACAGAGGAAGAACAAACAGAAGATCCTTAACATGCTGAACTGTTGGCATTACAAAGGAATATAGAAATGGTATCATTCAGTACTGTTCAAAGAATAGAGAATGCCCCAGGAGAGACCATAAAGGAAAGTTTGTGAAGAATAAATACCGGAAGAAAGATCAGAGATTCTTCTAGAGACAGAATTTGGCAAGAAAGCAGTGTATGTGGGCTCTCCCTGGTGGCGCACTGGGTTAAAGCACCACATTATGAAGTTCTCCGAAGCCACTGCAGCATGAGTTTGATCCCCAGCCAGAGGGCTGACCCACATGGTATGGCAGAACTCTCCTGACCCACCCATGGCTACTCTCAGCAATGTACTTCGTCAGTTGGCCTGTTCTGCTCCCCACTCTGTCTCTGGTGAATCTTCTCACTGCCCCTGCACCTCTGGTTTGTACCCCAGTCCTGTAAGCATAAATAAATTAATCTTTAAAAAAAAGAAAGAAAGAAAGTAGTGGATGTGAAGAAGAGTCGACCAAAGTTCAGTATTTGATTGGGAGTTCAGTATACTTTGAGTGGAAGTAGAGATGACTGAAAGCAGTCCAAGATGAAGCTTAAATTATAAGGATAAAAATTAGTAGCAATTAAAAGAGATTAAAAGAGAGGGTTTGCAATATAAGTTGTGGAGGGGCAGAATCAATCAAAGTATGTAACTGAAGAAAAGTAAGATAAAGGGCTTTTCTTTTAGTACTATATTTTGCAGGCTGAACATTTCATTGAACCATTTTCAAAAGGTTTTATGAAAGGGAAATAATAAGGAATAGTTTAAAGTTAATTCAAGATTTAAAAGGAGCCATTAAGGAGAACAATGTCAGTAAGACTAGGGGATGAGTTTTCTGGTAGAAGCAAAGAAAAGCAGAGATCTGGTGGCTTTTGCCAACGCATACCCTTGACAGGGAAAACTGCATCAGGCAGAAGACAGATAAATCAATGGGTGATTTTGTGAACAATGTTATTTTAGCAAAAAAAAAAAAAAAAAAAAAAAGGAAAGAGCAGTTCCAGGAATTCTAAGTATGAAAGTTTGTGGCAGTAAAGGCAGAGGTGGTGAGTAACTGGAAGAATGGAGAGAGGCAGGCAGAGATTAGGATCTGTAATTCACACTGGCCGAGGAAAGTAGGATGGTAGGATGTAGAAGGTGGTAACTTGCTTTGGGGGGTCAGTGGGATGCCCACAGAACAGGACTTTACCCACATGAGTGACACGGGAAAGCACTTCACAATGTTTACCTCCTCTGAACCTGAAATAGTAAGTCTAGACAAACAGAATGAGATAGCAGTTTCAGGGCAGACCATGAAGGACTTGAAGTATCCAAGTTTTTCAATTGAACACTCTCATCCTGAATCTTTCCTTCAAATTAAATACAGCTGAGTGTGAGCAGGTTTCAGTTCAAGTTTGAACTTCTCCAGTCCACTATTTTCTTGTAAACAGGCAATGTAACTTTATGGATAAATGGGGAATGGTACAATATGTCTCCATTTGTTATGCTTTTCTTTGTAACCGTTTCTTTTTTCTAGCTTACTTTATCAAAAGGGCATAAAAAATTAACATATAAATAAACATCAATCATGTTTTATGGTATAAATACTACTTAAAGAGTAATAAGTAGGTTTTTTGTTGTAAAGTATTGGGAGAAATCAAAAGATGTCCAGTTTTAACTGCGTGGGGTGAGTACTATGAACTCGTGTGTTATCCAATGGTCCACTATTGTAAACATATATAAACACTCACAGATAATCTAGTACATAAAAAGATTAGAAAATGGTATAAACATATTTAAGGCTAAATTATTATTACATAATGGATAATACAGTGTTAAAGCATTAATCTCCCAGATGACAGTTCCTTTTTTAAAATCAGATTTGAGTTAATGTTTTAGTCTAAAATATGTAAAGTATTACAAAATATCAATATCTAAAGTATAAAGTATATAAAGATATATACTAAAAATATAAAATATCTAAAGTATATACATACACTGTATATCTAAAGTATAAAACATACACTGATGTTAAATATTTATATAGTACTTTCCATAAATTCCATACTTTATAAAACTTGACATACATAACATATAACTCACATTTTCATAACAGAATACTAAGGATAAAGACTTGTCTATGACAAAACACTTATGTATGCCACCATAAATTCCTTTAGAAAGCAAACATAGTTGACAATTAAGTCAATAATTAACAAAATCAAATGTCACTGAAATTGACATTTGTGTATTAGAACCAAGAGAAAGAGATTAGAGATGTACAGTTTATCCAGCCTACCTAGTCCCCAGGCCATACGCACTGATGTACTTCACTGTGTCACCCACAAAAATTCCAATTAATTATAGATTCAGAATAGAGAAAATACAGCAGTGGGCTAGTGTTCTCTCCCTCTGTCAACATGAACTTTGTGATGAGACCACCTTTGCTCCAGGAAGACAAATCAATCTTTTAGATCCAAATGGTATTACTGGTGGTCTCCATACTTTTCCAGAAACTACATACTTTTCCAGAAACTACTACATGTTGGGAGAGGGACAAGATACAGAAGGAAGAAAAAAAAAATACTTATTTGTCTTTGCCCTTGCCCTAATGCATTTAAAAAAAAAAGTATGCTGAACTCTTTAAATTCATATTTTGTCAATTCTGAAAAGAAAATACATTCTGTTTGGAATTCTGTGGTTATAAGTTTTACTGATTTGTTACTTGGAAGCAAGAAAAATTTAACAGTCCCTGTTTGTAGTGTTGTTATTAGTATGTGCCTGGCTGAACCAAAAATTTCCTAAGGCTAAAAGTTTAGGGAAGGGGGGCTGACGGTCATAAAAGGCTTCTTGTTTATGAAAGTGTTTCTGATTTTGTCTCGAAGGTAACAGGAAACAACAACCATTTTAAGAATTGAAAGGTGCAGTGGGGAGAACATGGAGATTGAAAGTAGAGAAAATATCTTGTAGCAATTCAAGAGAAAAAAAAAAGAGAGAGAGAGAGAGAAGAAGTACAGCCATTGGAACAGGCAGAACTCTCACCAAAGAAGTGTTGAGGAGGAAATAGAGTGTATCTGAAATGTTAAATGACTACAATGGACATAATCACCACAGATTAGATTATCAAAATGAAAATAACCTGGACAACAATAATCTGTCTTCTGGCCTCAGAGACTGTCATATTAACAATGCAAGATATAAAGTAGAGAAGCCAAGTTTGGAGAGAGAGATGTGATTATTATGCTATAAACTCAGTTATGAAAGTCCATTAAGACCTGAAAGAATAGCCTTATGGATTTTATTATTAAATTTGTGAATATCTGCAAATACTGTTAAATAGATTAGTTTAAGCAACCTGCAATTCATGCAATTTCAAAGTAAATCCTAGTATGACACGTGATTAAATTTCTGTAAGCATTCTTTCAACAGCTTTAAAGGCAGGAAGGTTCTCTTACAGACGCTTTGTAAAAGAGGTGACAATGCTAAGTAGTCCGTAGAGCCTGCTATTGAGGCCATGACACTACAGTATAACAGAAGCTGTCATAGAGGCAAGATTTTCTCCAGGTACAGAAGTGGTGTTTCAGGGAAGTCTTAACAAATACGTTGTTAAAATGCAGCAAATAAAATACATACAAATCATTCTCTGCTTACCATTAACAATAACAATGATGTCACGGAAGTCAATTTCCCCCCTAGCTTCCACTCTTCCTTCACATCTATATATACCTTCATCACTTTTATTGATGTTGAGAATCTGCAGATTATTGTTGGCTAACATCGCAAAGCGATCTGGAAAGTAAGCAAAGAGGAGGAAACAATATCAGCAATCGAAGACAGAGTCCAGTGTGCTAAATTGCTAAGAGTTAAAATATGGCACTTGTCAGACACTATCAAACTTTTCATCAACAAACAAATTCAAATTTGAAAGTAAAATGTAATTTTGTGACTTCAATCTTTCCACTCCACACTGCCTTGTTATACCTCTTTTTTTTTTTCCTTTCTAAAATACATTCAAGACTTTATTTCCACATAAAATTGTTAGGCTATTATTTTCCCCTTGGTACTTTGAATGCAGAAATGATACACAAAAGAACAATGCAGAGAGATTAGATATTGCAGACAGGAAAAGGCTTTGACTGCAAATATGTTGCAACTAGGGTTTGAAAGAGGGTTAGAAAATTGATTGAATATCCTTCCTCACACAATAATTAAACTAATAATTTTGCACACCCTGAGGAAGCAGCAAAATGACACAATGATATTCAAGTCACATCAAGGGCATAAAATATGGCCATATCTCAAATTTATTTGAAGGATTTCTTTTTATAAATGAAAGCTGATCGATTTCAGCCTAATCTATTAGACTTTATTAATTTTATTTCAAGATTCCATTTCATGTGTGTATTCACTCTCATACATACAAAAAATAAATTGCTATAAATAATGCATTAGCTCATTGTTTAAAACAATCAGACTAATTTAAGCAGCATCTCAGCCCGCTCAGCAGTATTTTCCAGTTTTGTTGCACTACTAAGATCTTTCTCTTCTAATCGATCAAGTAAAGAATGTTCTCACATCTACCCCTGTATTGAAATATTCACTAATGGCGGTTTCCAAAAAATCTTTAATAAGTGCATTTGCACATGTCACTGAACATCACCTTTTACATAAGCTCTGTATTTGTGACAGAATGCTGAATTATAGCGACATCTTTGATACCTTTGAACCTTTAGGTAAAGTAGAAAGGTCATTATTTTAAGTTGTTCACCTTTCTGGATGAATAACTGGGATATCCACAATCAAATGTTACTCTTGGGGCCTGTTCTGAAGTTTGCTCCTCTTCATCTCTGTTCTGTCTTGACAGAGGGGTTAGGACAAGCATGGAAAGCTCATGAGTTTGGGATTCCCAACAACTGTAGTGCTGGAAGCAAGAGTGACAGGTAGAATTCTGTCACTGCCCTTATTATGAGTGGGATATAAACTGATATCATATTAGGCAGGTGGGAGTTCAATTCAGTTTTGAGGAGTATCTGTCCTAGCAATGTCTCAGTGCAAGGGGATATGGTAGGGTTAGAAATACAAATAGGCAAATGATCAGATTATATAAGGTCACTAGGACAGATAAACAAGCAATAAATCAGTAAGTAATATAATCATGTTATTAACTATGTATTGTTGTCAAAGATTGAATTAATAAAGAGAAGAATTGTATATACCCACAGGTTGAGAAATGATGACTTAATTTTTAGTTCAGTAAGTATAATCTTTTCCATAATTCTTATTGTTTTTCTTTTGATAGACCCTAAGAAGAGATATAAAAATGCCTCTGTGGTAAATTTTCTCCCCAAGCTATATATTGAAAAGAAAGGTTATCTGCAAATCTTGGATTAACCCACGACTCCTAAAAAATGATTGCTTTTTCAATGTCAATTAAAATAAGAAAAATAAAAAAAGATTAAAATTAGAGCAGGATGTATCTAATCAAACCCAGATCATTATAATATTATATTTTAGAACTCATTAACATATGTAGCATATTCTGATGTTCTTTAATGACTATAGTTTAAAAATAGTATAGGGCAATGTTATTTTTATCAGGGAGGCGATAGTTGATCTAAAAAAACAATTTAAATCTATATAATGCATATTTTTATAGGAAAAGATGTTTCTTTGAATTGCAAAACTTTAGCTTTCAGTTGCCATTATAAATATATTTATACCGTCTGAACAAAAACTACTAGAATATTAGGAAGACAGTAGGCATCCAATAATTGTAAATACATTATTATATATGACTATGTATAATTTTTCCACTTAGAAGCAAACTACATGAAATATGCATGAAAATTCTAAATATGTGCATAAAGTCCATGGAACAACTTTTTTGAACTATCAAACCAAAAAGAAAACATCATTAATGTGTTTATAGAAAATATTTTAGAAAGCACTCTTCACAAAGTTACACATAAGTATGGATAGTAGCACTTCTAGAAGTTATTGGTTTCTCTCAGTTTTACAGATAACATTTTTTTATTGCTATAACAAATAAATGAAGTAAGATAATAAACAATATCCAGTAAGATTTCTACTTTATGACTCCTTAAGTGGGTTATATTTTTAGTCCCTTTTTATTTTCATTCCATAGCCACTAACTGGCTTATCTCATTTACTTTTATGGTTCAATTATCATCTATATTTTGATACCTTGATTTTTTTCTAATAGACCAGATCACTCTGGTGAATTCCAGAGCTGTTTACGTCTATCACATATATCTACTTAAAATGGTTACAAATATTTTGGCTTCAGCAAGTTTCATATTTAGCACACTATATGTGCCTAAAATTTCTCAAAATTCCAATTCCGTCTTCACATTTAATTAGTGGCCCAACTCAAATTCCTTGAGTCATCTTTGATTTTCTCCATCTGTTTCAATCTGCATTTCCAATAAAATCACACATCCTATTATCTCTCCCTTCATTATTACTTAGTCTAAATTCCTTTCTCCTTCAGGAAGTATTTCATTCAATTCAGCTTGTCCTCAGTGCCTAGAGATCCTTTACTCCCACACAATTAATTCTACTCAGTAAAGCACTGAAATTGTTCTCAACTATGTATTAGGTCATGTTACTTTCTCGGTTAAATCCCTTTAGTGGTGTCCCCATGGAATAGGTTCCAAATAGAGATGACAAGGCTGAGATTTGACTCAACCTTCCTCTCCAACTTCTTTTTTTTTACTCTTTTATTAACAAATCCCATTTACATCTATCTACTAGTGTTAAGTATACTAGTTGTACCTGTTCATAAATTCTAGTTGCAACTAACTTATTTAAGATTCAGACATGCATCTTTCATGCTGTCTTTCACCTTTGGCCCACTGAAATAAAACAGCAGTTCCTCCCCCAGAGGCCCTTGCCATACTTTGCCCTTGTCATATTTAAAGATCACTTCTTTCTCTGTGCCCATATGGTGGTCTTCCTTTATCACCCTTTATGCTTGCAGTTCCTTTATCACGATCTGAAAATATCTTGTTTACTGATATGCCTGTTTATGTTTTTGATTAGATTGTTAGTATTTTGAAGGCAGTGTACCTTTTTTATTTTTTAAGATTTATTTACTTATGCACACAGAACTGGGGTACAGGGCGAGAGGAGCAGAAGTGGTGAGAGGATTCACCAGAGACAGAGTGGGGAGCAGGACTGGCAGATTGATGAAGTACACTGCTGAGCCATGTGGATCACCTCTGGGGCAGGGATCGAACTCGCACTGAAGAGGCTCTGACCAGCTTGCAGTGCTACTGCTTTAGCCCGTTGCGCTGCCAGGGAGGGCCCGGCAGTGCACTTTTACCTTTTAAACTACAAATCAGGGCCCTCCCGGGTGGCGCAGCGGGTTAAAGCACAGCCCTGAGAAGCTAAAGCCACTTCAGCATGAGTTCGAACCCCACCCACCCCGGAGGTGATCTACATGGTGGGCAGACCTCTCCTGACCCGCCCGCTGCCCCCCTCAGCAGTGTACTTAGTCAATCTGCCTACTCTGCTCCCCACTCTGTCTCTGATGAATCGTCTCACAGGCCCTGCACCTCTGGCCTGTACCCCAGTTCTGTATACGCAAATAAATAAATCTTTAAAAAAAAAAAAAAACTACAAACCATAACCATCTAATAGATGGCATATACTAAATGTTCAATAACTGTTGGATGGATTTAATATCAGCTTACTGAGTGAGTTGTTTTATGCATGGTGGTTGATAAAGAAAAGAGTACTTCAACAAACAAGGACCAAAATATTTAGGGAGTTTCTGGGAACTTTGACAGTGGCTGAGGTTGACAACACATATACTGTAGGGTGAAACTGAAAGCCAGAATATTCAATGTTTACAACAAAATGTTACCCTTACTCCTTGAATGCTTGGGTACTTTAGTAAAAAAGATCACCTCCTTTCAACAGGCAACATTGAAATGATCTGTAGAGATTTTTATTCTAGGTTTTTAACCACACAGCTGTTGCCAACAGCATAAATAATAAGATGGACATTCCCAAATCCTGAGTTTTCTTCTGTAGCCTCTAAACTTTACTCTCAAACCACAAGAGACCCCAGGCAGTTACTGGGACACATTCTATTCTAAATCTTCCTATACATTCCTTTCATAGTTGTAAACTAATCTTATTTCATTAGTTTTAATAAAGGGAACAAACATGTATAATCAGGTAAAAGGTATTACAACTTATATATCCATTAAGAATGTATCAAGTTATTCATAGTGACCTATATGGTGAGTTTCGCCAACTTTAAAGGCTCACAATTTATCTACATCCTTCATATCCCAGAGTAAAAAGAAGTTACATTTTTTTTAGTATTTATTAGCCTCACATGTAAAACCATGTATGTTTTATGTTAACTCTAGTTTTAACCACAGCCCTATATCCATTAAGAATGTACCAAGTTATTCATAGTGACCTATATGGTGAGTTTTACCAATTTTAAAGGCTCACAATTTATCTACATCCTTCATATCCCAGAGTAAAAAGAAGTTACATTTTTTTAATATTTATTAGCCTCACCTGTAAAACCATGTATGTTTTATGTTAACTCTAGCTTTAACCACAGCCCTTTCATAGGATTTTCTGTTTCTGCATATAACCTGAACACAAGTAATTTTGGCAAAAATGAACTCAAAGACTTAATACTCAATGGAAAGGAATTAGAAAGATACATGTCATTTATTGACTTTATATTTTGTAAAATATCATATTCATTCATTTAAAAATGTTTATGATATACCTAATGTCTCATATAACACATAAAATCATTGAACAAAGTGTATATATCATCTGTTATTTACAGATGGAAAATCTGTATTAGGTACAGTTAGAAATAGTATTCAAAAGCTTCAAGTTCAAGGAAAGGAGCAAAATCTGTATTAGGTACAGTTAGAAATAGTATTCAAAAGCTTCAAGTTCAAGGAAAGGAGCAGAGACAAAATCAAAGTCCAGCTTTCCATCATTCCATCCTGGGACAGATGAAAATAATCCTCCCCTATCTCCACTATACTTAAACATCAGTCTTTGCTTTGAGCCTTTTGTTCTATGTGTCTTTTTTAAAAATGTGATTCCTTTCAAAACTTATTGTACTTAAGGTTTACAATTTACCAGATGTACATTTGAATATCAAGATCAGTCAATCTGAAAATGTTTAGACGTTGTCATTTAACTGTTATAAAGGAACAGCTATTTTTTCCTTTATTACTGAAGGGAACAAGCTAAAATGCTTTGCAAAATTCATTCATGGGAGTTGTCAATAAAATCTAAAGCAGTTATCCTAAAATAAAAAAAGGGGAAATATAGCATTTTCATTAACTTATTATAATAGAAAAAGAAGTTCATTCATAACTGACAATGATTGAATATGCCAAATACAGGAAAACCTCTCCAAATTAAAAAAAAAAAAAAGACTAGTGAATACGATAATATGATCATCATATCTTCTCTATACACATTTAAAAATAGATACTCTGTGCCTTCTCTCCTTTATATTATGGAACTTTCATCTTTCAAAAACACAAAACAGGATTATCCAAACTGAAAGTATTTTAAAAGACTCAATTATTTGTACCTCTATGCAGTGCAGGTGCACTGAAATATATTCTAAATTGAAAATACTCCCAAAACACAATGGTAAAGTAGAATAATTTAAGCAAATTATGCTTTCAATTTCAAATGTCATATTATTCTGGAATTTTAGCGCATTCTCAATCAAAATCAAGAAGACAATTGGAATGCATACACTTTTCTGTTTATCTTTCACATGTTCACCATAATATTTAGAAAATGTAGGTGTCTTTCAAAGAAAAGTAGTAGAATAATAAAAAGGATTCATATTGATATTATGTTAAGTATACATGTAACAACCTGTGGAACATGTTTGATTGATAGTTTATAGAATTCAAATATATCAGGATCCACTGGTTCTTTTACTTTATATACTCATAGTGCTTGTAATATAATATTTTTCTTAAATAAAACACAAATAAACAAACATTTTTTTGAAAATCACTAGATAATAGCTATGGTCACTCTGTTGGCCAAGCCATCTGTCATAATTGCTCAAATCTGTCTCCAAAGCCATAAGTAATAATTACTTGTTCTGCTAAACACCTACATGAACAACCGATTCTGAATTTTTCCTGAGGTCCAGAGTTTACCAAGCCCTAGTTTAGAGCTTTGCATTTCTGAAAAGAGTTATCTTATCCGCAGAGTCGAGAATTCTTATTTCTGTCTTTGTTCAAGTCAATGAATTCTTTTAAAAAACACAATATTAAAACATATAACTTAGGGAGTTACCAAAATACTAACTGTCGGAAATAGCGGTGACTTCCTCATTGTGATACAACCAGCTGACCACAGGAGCAGGTGAGCTGCTGACTCGGCAAACCACCTCTGCGTCCTCCCCTTGTTTGAATTCTTGAGGAGATACCACTTCTCTGAAAGTGAGTTTTTCTGGGACAAGAAAGTAAAACAAACCATTAATAGTATGGCTTATGTTTTCCGATAATATACTTCAGTATCTATGTTTACCGATTCTATAGTAAAATATTTAGCTATAAGAAATTGACAGTTTTTAAGACTTTACACCAAATAATCACACAAGCTGGTAAATTCTTATCTCACAGAGAATGAAATTCAAGGTCTACAATGACCTATATGAACTGGAGTCAGCACCCTGAATCTGACCTCAATTCCCTCTTTCTCTTCCTAAATTCTATGCTTCAGACAGTTTCTGGAACACTCCAGACTTGTTCTCATTCTGGAACATTTGCACACCTTTATTTTCCTTCAGACTTTCGTTCAAACTTCCCACTTATGCTCTCCATGTCTCTTTACCCTACTTAATTTATTTTCTATAGGGTTTTACAGTACACATACCTAGCTTTGAGGCCTTTTTAGCTTACTACATAAATGTTTGCCTTTACTGAGTAAAATATAAGTAGCAAGTGACCAGTGACATTTTCACTCTTACTCCCTACTGAACTGTATGACTCAGCATGTCATCTGCCACATAGAGACCTCCAACAGGTGTTATCTGAGTGAACAACCATTCTCTGTATGTTTAATGAGAAATTTTCACAAAAGGAATTCACTATTATTGTTCTAGATAATACAATGTATTTTTCTTCATAAATAAAACACCAGGGAACTCCACATGTAACATTTCAAAGAATGAAAAATCTTTCCAAATACTATGTCTAATAAATGAGCATTTCAATTTAATCTTTTGTTGCATATATAAAGTTACTATAGTAGATGGCACACATAATAGGACAGTGTGTTTTCTGAGATTTCTTAAAGATGAACAGGGGAGAGAAGGTCAAATAAGAAAATTGAGGACACCCAATGCCTGGGTTGTCCACAACAAAGTCAAGCTGTGTGAATATTATTTTTTTACTTCATAACTTTTTTTCAGAATATTTTTAAAAAACTATGAGGAGGGCCTCGTTGGTATTGCAAGAGTTAAAGACAGTGTTACCGAGCTATCAGCAGCCACTGCATGAGTTGTGTATCTTGGCCAACCAGGGAGGTGGGTAACCTACATAGCACAGCAGACCTCCTCAGTCTCCTGCTCCCCTCAGCAGTGTATTTCAGTAGATCTGCCTTTTCTGCTCACTCTGTCTCTGGTGAATCCTCTCATACACCCCCTCATACCTCTGGCCTACAGCCCAACTCTTGTATGCATAAATAAGTAAATCTTAAAAAAAAAAAAAACTATGAGGAAAAGATGTCCTATGAGATAGTATCCTCAAGTTTTTGTTTTGTTTTGTTTTGTTTTTTTTGTTTTGTTTTGTTTTTTTATATCTTTTCAGTAGTGGATTTGCTAACCACACACTAATTGTTAGGTACTGTCCTAAGAGCTTAATGCATTATCAATTAACCTATTCCTCCGAAAAGTTTTACAAATAAGGTGGATATTACTAATATACCTATTTTTAGGTGAGAAAGCTAAGGACATGTTAGGTAATAGGTCAAAGACACAAGTCAGTGAAAAGCCTGGCTTCAAACCCAGGGAGTTCACAGGCTCGACTGAGCTGCTAATCAGTGTAATGGCCTAAATGTGGGAAAAGCGAGAGAAAACAGGAAGCAGCCAGCACAAGCCATAAAATAAAATGTAAGGGTAGAAACCTTGTTAAAATGAAAAAACCTGATGGTGAAGACTACAGCTAAATATCATTCTTCACTAATAGGTTTGCAGGCTTTGATCTGTCTACACAAACTCATTGAGCTTTCCTGAATGTCATTCTAGACTATTCACTGCTATCATACATGTAATTTGACTTCTATTCACATTCTTTGATTTTAAAGTGAAAAGTTATCCCCAATAAGTTTCATATTATTAAACAGCTTGTTTTCTACTTACCCAACTGATGGTCTGTAAAAGTTAAACCATTCATGATATTAGTGATTTACCCAATAAGTTGACTCCATCTGTATGCTTATGAAAAACTACTACCTACTCTCTATTTATACAAGGATATTTGTAGAGGTCTTAGCATTTTTCCTAGTATATAGTAAACCCAAGTCAATGCTGGCTTCTGTTGTTAAATGCATTTCAATTTGTTTGAAATTTTATCAAAAAGTACAATTTCAATCAACTAAACACCAATACATGACTTACGGTAAATTTCCAAAACAACTGTAGCTTCTTGTGTCTGTCCTTTGGCATCTGTTGCTTGACAACGGTATATCCCTGCATCTTCTATATTTGCGTTGTAGATGGTTAATCGTGACCTGACACCTTCTTTTTGAACCACGACCCTCTGTGTTGAAATGATCTTCTCTCCTTGAGGATTAAACCAATCTATACTCTCCGGTTCACCAATTGCTGCAAAGAGTCATGGAAAATATCCATTTACCAATATGTTTCAAGGCATATTGGCCTTTACCAATATGCTACTAGGCATTGACATTTAATATTATGTCATGACTAAACAATTTAGAAGAGACTGAAAATATGAAATATGCCATACAATTGAAAGTTAACACAAATGTTAGTACACATTCATCCCTATTTAGCCAACATAGAAGAGTCTATCCTGGTTGATTAAGTGAAATCCAAAAGTGCCACAGGAAACTTAATATGGGATGGGAGCTATGATAAAGGAAACTTTACTAGTGTAATGTATGGATTATCACTATACTTAGAACTGTAACTGCCTCTAGCACTGAATCAGAAGCTATTTCTCTTGGTAGATACAGCTGCACAGAAACATGTTTACAAACATTTTACCTGTTCAATTCTTTGTGAGGGTCAGGATTTAGCAATTTTTTTCCCCTGATAAAACAGAACTCATAAAATTATAAATATTTCACAAAATAAACTTTGACTTTTGATAATACCAAATTTCGAATTAATTTCATGTTGTTAAACTTGTATAAATAAGTCCAAAGACTATTTTTAAACTGGAGGCCTAATCTTCTCTCTTCCCAAATGAAGTGAATAGTTTCATCATTTTAATCCAAAACGGTTAACCATTTAATCATATGATAATTAGAATGCATTGAAATGATACTTATACTGCTAGGCAATTACAACCAAATCATTACAGGGTAAACATTTATTTAAGTTTTCCAATTCTGAATCTAGGTTATTATCCTCTTCGTAAAAACTAGAGCTTCCTGTGTTTGCTTTTAGCCACCAAAAGGATGTATTTCACCTAATTGCTTGAGAGATAATTTGTGGAAGCAGCATAGACGATTAACTCAAAGTATTGGGGGAAAATGCATAAAGTTAAATAACATCTGCAGGACCTCTTTGAAAAAAAATGTTCCTTCTCATTTTTTTCAAGAAATGGCTCTAGAAACAAATTATCCTGCTTTCCACTTCAAATTGGACATATTTGAGCAAAACATACGAAAGAATGTTTAGTTTAATCTTAAATAGCTCTTATTTTCATTTTTTCCTGAATGGAACCATAATGCCAAACATTTGAAGTTACTCAATTTCCCACTCAATAGAGAATTTGAAAAAGCATAAAAGCACATCACTTTAATTTTGAGCAACACATAATGTCATTTATACTGTAAATTATATGGGATAATCTGTGAGATATTTTGCACATTTAATATTTCAATCTCAAAGATATGGGAAAATTTTATTTCTAAGGAGTTTATTTTGGATGTTCATTGAAAAGTCTCTTTGGGGGATGTTTCTAATACACAAGAATTTCTAATAAAGCTTCCTAAGTTATTCTGGTGATGAAACTGGAATACTGGACAAATTAAGGATGTAAACTTTATATATTTTTGAAACTTCAGCATAAAACCTTTTATTTTATAGGTGTTATGCACTTATCTAGCTCAGTAAGAATATAGCTATATTCTAATCAATTCTACAATATTTACATTATTGAGTTTTAGAAGCTTAGACTTTATGGTGTCAGGAAACTTGAACATCATATCATCATAGTTACTATTTTAATAGGAAAATACATTTAGACCTTCTGATCTTCACGGGATCCCCATGTCTTTAGTTTTAGATTCATGTCCTACTGCTATACTTAACATAAATAAAACCACTTTCCTGACTATGTTTTTAGTTACACATTTTTATATGAAAGGGGAAAACATTTAATTACTTTGTTCCATTTGTAAGAACAAAGTAGTACTACTGAATATTGTTAATTTTAATTTGACTGTAAAATTTTAATTTCACTGTGTGTAATACATATAGACAGCCATACTATATGCTTTATCATCATGATATATTCTAGAAATTCAAGAAAAATGCACTTTTCATTTTCTTTTCAAAATTAATTTTTAAATTATTTCATTATTCTGATTATGTGATATTGAGTTGGATGTTTACATCTGTGCATGTAAATTATGGATGAGATTTAGAAACAATGACTATATTCTTGTGCTAAAGTTCTGGTAACATAAAAAATTATATTACACCAAACTCTCTCTTTCTCCATTTGTCAATATACAAAAATATGTAACAACAATTTAGCAACAAAGGCTTTTAAGAAAATAAACATTAAAAATCATGACTTATAGTTTTAATAGTATGTGACATTGTCTGTGTATAACACATATGATTTATAAGTGTTATAGCTATTTCTATTTTGCTAATTTTAATAATCCTTTAAATAAATAATGATATTCTCCAAATTTTATAATGCATTTTTTATGTCAGAAATGCCTATTTAATCCAGTTTTAAATTGCTGAAGTAGAAGTAGAAATGTTTTCCAACAATTTTATTAATTTGACAGTCATTTAACAGACACATAATTTGGGGAGAATGTGTTCACACCTCCATAAAGACAAGAGCTTCACTCACCCATGACCCAAACTCCAGTGAGAAACAATTTTGAAATTATTTTGAAAAGTGATTGTAGTATTACTGAAATATTTTTAAAACTCTAGTTTGTAGTACGTATGCCTCATCATCAATATGCTGCATCTAAATAGAAGTAAGAAGTGTTCTGCAGTATGTTGCTTTAAAATCTAAATTAAAATTTAAGGATTGGGGCCCTCCCTGGTGGTGGAGTGGATTAAAGAGCAGCACTTAAGTTAGCCACAGCTGCTTTCGTGCCAATTCAATCCCCACCTCGGAGGTGATCCACATGGCTTGGCAGGCCTCTCCTGAGTTGCCCGCTGCTCCCCTCAGCAGTGTACTTCTTCAATCTGCTCCTCAACTCTGTCTCTGGTGAATTCTCCCACCACCCCTGCACCTCTGGCCTGTACCCCAGTTCTCTACGCATAAATAAATCTTTAAAAAATATATAAGTATCAAAGTAAATTAAAATGTCTTCTAAAAGAATCCTGCAAGTGTATGATCAAATTGAAGTCCACATAATTTTCTACAGGCTTCAGAAAAAGGTAGTTATGATTATTACAAAATCTTGCAAAAATATTTCTTGACTAAATAACTACCTACTTTGTGAAGATTACTTTTCATAAGGCTGTGTTTGATTTGTTTTTTTCCCTAAAATTTTCATTCACATGTAAATATAATACATGTGCCATAACTAATTTATGTTACATATCTGCAAAAATGGTTAAGTTAAAACATTTATATTCATCGTAATGTAAGCATTTAATAGAAAAAATTTAAGTTGATGAAAAAGTTATTTTACAGATATAATTAACAAGTTATCTTAAAATAATAGCTCAAGATTGTTTCACAATCAACAATGAATAATTACATTAATCAAAACAAAATGTATAATTTTTAATAAATAAAATTTAGGAATTAGTAGTTTTTCAATTAAGATAAATTTAATAAGGTTTTACATTTAGAGAAATGAGTTTTTATGTATTCTAGATACAATATAACATAATAATACTTAAAGAATTTGAAGAATCTGTAGAAATACATACCTGTACATGTGAAGAATTTAGATTCACCAACACTAAGCTCTACTTTGCTAAGTGAAATTGTCACTTGAAGAAGAGCTAGAAAAAAAATTTGAGCAATAATTAATTATGATTATAAACAAAAAATCTAAGATTTACCATGACACTAAACCACATATCTAAACAATACTTTTCCGTAATATTTGTTACACATAGACAGAAGTGGAAGAAATGGAGATACATACAATATTGTATTTGTTATATAATTTGCACTTGGTAAAAACAGCCCAACTGGGCCCTCCCTGGTGGCGCAGTGGGTTAAAGCACTGCACTGAGAAGCTAAAGCCACTTCCGCATCAGTTCGATCCCCGCCTGCCCTGGAGGAGACCACATGGTGTGGCAGACCTCTCCTGACCCGCCCACTGCTCCCCTCAGCAGTGTACTTC